TTGGATTTTTTGACAGTTAGACAAACTTATAGACTAAACTCCTTAACGGATTTGCTAACAGCATGTGACTGTTAGACATTCAATGGTAATTTTTTTGACCACATTTCTCTTTAAATATTTAATAAATTGAGCTGAAAATTTTGTAAGAAAGTCAAAAATATAATAAAGAAGGGCAGTAATGTGCAAAAGTTTTAATAATTAAAAAATAAATTATAATAAAACACTTTGAAATCGGTAAAGACGAGAAATTGATTAGAAGTTCCAATACATTAACCTTCGCGCTACCAAAGATTTTTGTATACGCGGACTACCGGCTGGCCACACGGTGTGGCCAAACGCTATTTTACTTTTATGTTCCCAAAACGATTAAAATTCATCAAAGCTTTTGTATATAGTTATGTGTTAATACAAATTAACTGAAAAATTTTGTCCAGTGAGTTAAAATGGCGATTCGATTGATTACAAAAGTCGAGCAGATATACAACATTATGTATACTTGGCCACACCGTGTGGCCAGCCGGTAGCGCGAAGGTTAAGTATTTTTTGAAATATTTGAATTTTTTCTAAACAAAATTGGATTCTTTGACATTTAGACAAACGTAGAGCCTGAAGTACTAAACAGTTTCATAAATACCCTAAAATTTTATTAATGATGCAAAAAGTATTTTGATCCCAATAAAAACATCTTTGATGTAAAAAGATCCGCCAAGTAAAAGTTTTTGCAAATGTCCAAACAATTAGTGAAATAAAAGTTTACCAAGTAAAATTTAGAACTAAAGTTTTAATATAGAATTGTAACAAATATAAAATTTAATTTAATATCCATTAAGTCCCATGAAGAAACCAGACGTTTTATTTAAAAAGTAACAATTGGATTCATAAGAAAATTGAAAAAAAGATAGACCTGTTTTTTGTTTTTAATTTCCAATTGTTTAAACAAATTAAAAATAAACAAATTATGCTAAGTATAGGATGTTTTATCCCAAGCATAAACAAATGCATTTTGAGTAAAAAATTGAAAAAAATGTACCTGTTTTTGTTAATTTACAATTATTTAACAATAATTGTTTAAACCAATTAATAAAAATTTAAAAATTATCGAAAATTCTTAACGTAAATCGATTCTGTGTAGAAAATTAAGAAAGTTTTGTATGTGTTATTTTCTTCTCCAGGTCGTATTTTGTTTATAAAATTGTTATTAACAAATTATGCGGGATAAATGTGTTTTATCCTAATTAGTTTCTGAGTTGGCACAATACTATTAAATTAACAAACTGAGTTTAGTTTCGTGTTGAATCGAAACTAAATTCAGTTTGTTGGTTTAGTTTCGTGTCGACCCGAAACTAAATTAACAAATTAGATTTAGTTTCATGTCGACTGCGAACTAAACTAAAAAAAAATAAATTAGATTTTTAAACACTTGAATTTATTTTAGTACATATCAAAAAAAATATCTGAGAAACTCAATTACCTAGTTCTAATTAAAAAATCACAGCTAACAATAAAATATTTAAAGAAATAATAGAATTATAACTTTAATAATAGATATTCAATAGTATGAGGAGACTTCAATAGAATTATAATTTATTTTTAGTTGACATGAAACTAAATTAAACGTGAATTTTTAATTTAGTTTCGTTTTAGAATAGGTCCCTGAGATTTACATGACGTACAAACATGAGAAAAATATGTTTTTAAATTATCATACATTTAAAAAAATTGTTTATTGGTAATTGCATTTAAACAATAATGAAGAATATGTTTTTTTCAAATTTATTATTTTGATATTATGAAAGTAGAAAATATTAGCTTTAAAATAAGATCTTAACTAACTTTCTATCCTTACTAGAACTTAAAATAAATAACTTTGTGTAATGTCGGTCGGTCGTTCTTCAACTGAATATCATAGAGTGGAAGAATGGATTGATAGAACACTACTGCGCATGTGTAAAACTGACAGAACACTACTGCGCATGCGTGATTTGATAGAACACTATTGCGCATGCGTAACATTGATAGAACACTACTGCGCATGCCTAATATTGATAGAACACTACTGCGCATGCGTAACATTAACAAAACACTACTGCTCATGCGTAACATTGACAGAACACTACTGCGCATGCTGCAGGACTAATTTTTGGCTACACTATAGGAAGAAGTATCTTAATTTTAATAGTATTGGTAGTCATTTCAAAGTTATTTTATTTTACCTTCTTCAAAGATCGCTAGCGTGAAAAATTCTGTTTTTATTCTTTTATAAATAAATACGTCTAAGTACATTCGTCTTTTTTTTAATATGTTTCATTTTTAATATATTTTTTTCGGGGAAATAGTTTTTCGGGGAATATTTTTAAAATATTTTTTCGGGAAGTGGGCTTCGGGGAGAAGGTCTTCGGGAAAAATGTATTCGGGCAAATATCTATTCGGGGGAAGGTATTTGGGGAAATGACCGGGAATCGGTCGGTCGTTCTTCAACTTAATATAATAGAGGATTTTGTAGAATTTTATAAATTTTTTTTTTTTGAAATAATTAAATTCTTTTGGAAAATTTTATGAAAACAGTAGATATTGAAAATCATTGAATTGTGGAAAATTTTTAGAAAATAAATGAATTACGAAATAAAATTTAATAATTTCTAAAGATAATTGAAATTTTGATAAGAATTAAAAAAATTTTTGAACATAATTGAATTTCTGCGAAGAATTTTTATTACTTTTGAAAATATGTAATTGAATTTCTGCAATGATTTGTAATTTCACTAAAATTATCCAAATTATATCGTATAATTTAAGACCTTTTCATTCTTTTTGAATCAAATTACAAACTTTACTCTCTAAATTTGAATTAGTAAAAATTTTTACTAATTTGAATTAGTGACTGACTTTTTGCTTTTGAATTAGTGAATTTTACTAATAAATAGTAATTACTACTAATTTATTAGTAAATTTTACTATTTCAAAAGCATAAAGTCAGTCACTAATTCAAATTAGTAGACATTTTTACTAATTCAAATTAGTAAACATTTTTACTAATTCAAATTTAAAGAGTACGGTCCTTTTTTGAAAAAACGGAGTTTTACGGACTTCAAGAAAAAATACGGACTTCTACGGGATTTACAGACCTAGTTCGAACCCTGTGAAAGTTATTTTATTTGAAATTAATAGAATTATTGCAACTAATTTTATTGTTTTATTTTATAATTGAATGTTTCTTAAAATTAAATTCTGTCGTTAAATTGCAATAAAATTTTTAAAAATAATTGTATTTTTCCAAGAATTTATTTAAAATTGTATTAAAAACATTTAAAATTTTGTGATGAAAATAATTGAATTTCTAAATGAAATGTTATTATTTATAAAAATAATTAAATGGGCGGTATCAATTGCCCTCAATTCAACTGTATACAGGAAAACTGCCCACAATAAACTGCATACTGGAAAACTGCATACAAGCAAATTTTAATAATAAAATTATTAAATTTAATTTGAAAACTGTATAAATCTAAACTGCATACCGTTAAACTGCACATAGGTAAACTGCACACAAGTCTAATTTTTTATTAAATTTATAAATAATTAATATTAAAAAACTCTACACAGTTAAAGTGTACATTGGTAAACTGCATACAAACTAAATTAAAAAAATTAAATTAAAAATTTATTTATTGTTTAATTGCACACCGTTAAACTGAACATTGCTCAACTGCATACAAAATAAATAAATTAATTAAAAAAATTTAATGTATCGTCAAATTGCACATCGGTAAACTGCATACATATCAACTGTATACAGCTAAGTTCTCTTCTATGAAGTTGGCAGTTGCGAATATATTCATAGAAGAGAACTTAGCTGTATACAGTTGATATGTATGCAGTTTACCGATGTGCAATTTGACGATACATTAAATTTTTTTAATTAATTTATTTATTTTGTATGCAGTTGAGCAATGTTCAGTTTAACGGTGTGCAATTAAACAATAAATAAATTTTTAATTTAATTTTTTTAATTTAGTTTGTATGCAGTTTACCAATGTACACTTTAACTGTGTAGAGTTTTTTAATATTAATTATTTATAAATTTAATAAAAAATTAGACTTGTGTGCAGTTTACCTATGTGCAGTTTAACGGTATGCAGTTTAGATTTATACAGTTTTCAAATTAAATTTAATAATTTTATAATTAAAATTTGCTTGTATGCAGTTTTCCAGTATGCAGTTTATTGTGGGCAGTTTTCCTGTATACAGTTGAATTGAGGGCAATTGATACCGCCCCGTTTGCAAAGCATTTTAACAAAAAAATTTCAGATAATTAAATTCATTTAAAATACTTTTTAAAATAATTGAAATTTTGACAAAAATTGTATTAAAATTCTTAAAAATAATTAAATTGCAGAAACAAAGAAATTTGTTTTTCATCAATATAATTGCGTTAAAACTTGAAATAATTGAATAATATTAAAAAATTCATTCTTGTCAGAAATAAAAAAAAATGTTGAAGCTTTTGTATGAGAATTCGTAATTGTTTCATAAATTATAAGGCATACATAAAAAAACATAAAAAATTCAAAATTTTCTTAAGAATTCTAAAAAGTTAATTTTTTTCAGTACTTTTTATAAAAAAACTTTTCCCTGATTTCTCAGACCTGTGGTAACCTTGGAGGAAGAGTGAACGAGAGAGAATAAGAGGAAATAAGAGTAAATGAGAGAGAATAAGAGTTAAGAAGAGAAAATAAGAGAGAATGAGAGAAAATAAGAGAGAAGAAGAGAGAATTCAATAATATTTTTGACTATTTTTTAACAATATTGTACAAAATTTGTTTGAAAAAAGGTTAAAAATTTTTGTCAAAAATTTGATAAATAAATGAAAGAATACGAAAATTTGTTGTAAAATTATCTTTTCATATTTGTTTTATTTACTTTTCAGGTATAATATACTTAGAAATAAGTAATAGTAATGATAATTAATAAAAATGATTAATAGTAAAGTCCTTGTCCACCTCCTCTTCCACCTCTTTCCACCTCTTCCACCGCGTCCTCTGCCTCCACCACGATATTTTTTCTGCGACAGCAGGTCCATAAGAAGATTTTTAACATCTTTCATATCTTTCTGCAAGCAAATAATTGTTAATTAATTATTATTATTATCAAGAAAAGCAAAATACTAACATTTCAATTAAAGAAGTTCGCGAAAATTGTTAGAAGGCTTTTTCGTTTAAAAAAATTAGAATTAAAAAATAGAATAAAATAAGACGGAATGAGAGAGAATAAGAGGTAAGAATAGAGAATGAAAGAGAATAAGAGTGAATGAGATAAAGTAAGAGAGAATGAGGGAAAATAAGAAAGAATGAGAGAGATTAAGAGGGAATAAGGGTAAACGAGAGTAAATAAAAGAAAGTAAAAAAGAATGGGAGACATGGTGTCCAGCGATTCTTAAAAAAAAATTCAAGGACTTTTCAAGGTTTTGAAGGTCTAAAATAATTTTTTTAATGTACTAATTTTCAAAATATTTGTTATTTATAATTATTATTATTATTATTATTATTATTTATTATTTTTTATATATTTATTAATTTAATTTATTAATTATTTATATTTAATTTATTTAGTGACTAACTTTTTGCTTTTGCATTAGTAAATTTTACTAATAAATAATTATTTCTACTAATTTTTTTAGTGAAATTTACTAATTAAAAAGCAAAAAGTAAGTCGCTAAATCAAATTAGTAAACATTTTTACAATTCAAATTTAGAGAGTACTTATAACCAATTCTATAATTTCTAAATTCAACAGTTATTCATAAATAACTTTAAATACAATTTATTGCTAAAATATTAGAAATATAAAAAACATCGATTTTAGAAACATCAATCAAAATTGTTTTGAAATAATTAAATTCTTTTGAGAATTTCTATCAAAATTATTGATATACAAATTATTGAATTAAGAAATTTTTTTGAAAATAATAAAAAATTTGCAATGAATTTGATTAAAATTTTTGGAAATAATTTATTTTTATTACTTTTAAAAATAATTGAATTACTGAAAAGAATTTAATGACAAATTTTAAAATAATTGATTGATTAAAATAATTATTGAAAATAATTGAAAAATTGCAATGAATTATATTAAAATTTTTAAAAATAATTGAATTTTATTACTCCTGAAAATAATTAAATTACTCCGAAGAATTTAATGGCAAATTTTAAAGTAGGGGAGAGTCTCCAGTTGTGAGACGGGTTTCATTTTTGACCCGTAAATTGTAAACGGGTACACGAATTTGTAAATAAAATACACCGTTCGAAAGGTAACAGAAATACGCAACTTTTATTAAAAGAAAGTATAGTGTTTCGATGAACTCAAAAAATTTTACGATACATTTTCCGAGCACATCGCTTTTTTCAAAAAAAAAAAATGTCTCCAGTTGTGAGACACTCATTAAAAATTGCTAAAATTTAATAAGTTTGACATAAAACGTTATGTTTAGTAGAAATAATTAAATATATTAATAATATATATTATTATATACTAAATAATAATATTTATTCGACAAAATATGACTATCAAATAAACACAATTTAATAGCTTCAACAAGAGCATTAAAATTGATTTCTTCTGAATCAATTGACTTTTTTCCACTTGACATGCCCAAAAATACTAGAAAAAAAATCAAAACAACATTTAAATAGTATGCCTGCAAAGTCGTATTTTTTATGCTGCCCAGATGGGTGTTGACACCGTCTCACAACTGGTGATATGCTGCGTCTCACACCCAGAAATTGGCGCTATTTTGAAAAAGGAAAATTAAATTATTTTCAACCGTAGATTGGAACAATGCAATATTGCATCACAAAATATAAGGAAAACACTAAAAGAAAATGCATTACATTTACCTTTTCAAATTAATTAACTTGGAAAAAAAGTACTTTGCATTTTTTGAAAAAACGCTTTTTAGTCGATTATTACACACAGTGTTGGTATTTAACAAAAACAGTTTATATATCCGCTTCGGCGTACACGAAAAAGTTGGCTCATATAAATAGAAATGTTTTTATATAAACCAATCGGCTTTTTAATATTGCATGTTAAAAAAAATTGACTGTCTCACAACTGGAGGTGTCTCACAACTGGAGACTCTCCCCTAATAATTGATTTTTGCGAAAAAAATATGCAAATAAAAGAAAGCAAAAAGAGAATAAGAGAAAATAAGAGAGAATGAGAGAGATTAAAAGAAAGTAAGACAGAATGAGAGAAAATAAGAGTGAATAAGAGGGAGTAAAAGAAATTAAGAGAGAATGAGGGGAAATGTGAGAGAATGAGAGAATAAGAGAGATAAAAAGAAAGTAAGAAAGAATAATAGAAAATAAAAGTGAATGAGAGAAAATAAGAAAGATTGAGAGTGAATGAGAGAGATTAAAAGAAAGTAAGACACAATGAGAGAAATTAAGAGTGAATGAGAGAAAATAAAAGAGATTAAGAGTGAATGAGAGAGATTAAAAGAAAGTAAGACAGAATGAGAGAAAATAAGAGTGAATGAGAGAGATTAAAATAAAGTAAGACAGAATGAGAGAAAATAAGAGTGACTGAGAGGGAATAAAAGAAATTAAGAGAGAATGAGGGAAAATGAGAGAATAAGAGAGATTAAAAGAAAGTAAGAAAGAATGATAGAAAATAAGAGTGAATGAGAGAAAATAAGAAAGATCAAGAGTAAATAAGAGAGATTAAAAGAAAGTAAGACAGAATGAGAGAAAATAAGAGTGAATGAGAGGGAGTAACAGAAAGTACCCAGTAGGCAAAAAACCATCATTGCTTTAAAAACGTTCCAGAAAAGTTTTTAGAACGTTTCATGTCTGCTAAATAATGTCCAAAAAACGTTATATGGTTTTAAAACGTTTTAAAAGCAATAGAACGTCTTTGGAACATTATTTTGCAGACATGAAACGTTCTAAAAACGTTTTTGGAACGTTTTTAAAACAATGATGGTTTTTTGCCCACTGGGTAAGAGAGAATGTGAGAAAACAAGAGTGAATGAGAGGGAATAAAAGAATTAAAAAAGAATGAGGGAAAATAAGAGAGAATGAGAGAATAAGAAAAATTAAAAGAAAGTAAGAAAGAATGATAGAAAATAAAAGTGAATGGGAAAAATTAGAGAGATAAAGGGTGAACGAGAGAGAATAAAAGAATGTTAAAGAGATGAGAGAAAATAAGAGAGAATGAAAGAAAATGAGAGTGATTAAGGATGAACGAGAGAGAATAGCTGAAAATAAAAGAGAATGAGTGAGATTAAGAGAGAATAAAAGTGAATCTAATCTAATCTGACACCGAGATCGAGCTGGATTTTCCCAAAGAGGGGAAAGTGAGCACCAAGGTTAAAGGAACCCACTATACCAGACTCCAGCTCGCTCGTTTATAGCAACCCTTAGAGTCCTGTTCTTCTCCAGAAGTCCAGTATCTCTTCTATCGATAGGTTTCTTACCTACCTTGGGGTCAATAATTGCTTGACCCGAACTAGATAGCCTGATCCTAGCTAGCGCTGGGCATTCAGATAATATGTGAGTCGAAGTTTCGTTACTTTCCCCACACAGTCTGCACATAGGTGAAACTTGTCTGCCTATTTTATGCTGATGGTAGTTCAATAGTCCATGACCCGTAAGTAGACGAACTACGGTTCTAACTGTTACATCCCTAGATATAACTTTTTCAAATAATTATAAGATATGGATATATGTGCATATATATATCTTGAACAATTAATAAATAACATGTAACATAAATACTGTATGTATATATATATATATATATATATATATATATATATATATATATATATGCAAGTTTTGAAAGTAATATTGTCCCAGTCGAAAAGTGCATATTGGTAATGATTAAGATGTCTATATACATTCAAATAATATTTCAAAGATATCTTTATATTTAAAAAATATTTTTAAAACATGTTTTGAAAATATATGGACATTTTAAAAGCAATACATATCACTGCGCACACTGGAATATATATTATAAGTAAAGAATTAAAATTTATGTATTCTATTTTAAATATTATTTAAAAGCAATGTATTTTTTCTTTTCTTGCAATAATTATAACGTTAATTTTACAAATTATGTAATTTTACTTTTTTTTGCTAAAACTCATTTTTTATAATATTATGCTATATCATGAAACTTTCCATTTTCTTTCATAATTATATTTCAGATATATAATTAATTAATAGAGGTGTGCAAAAAGCTCGAAGCTCGAGCGGGTATTTTCGAGCTTTTCATTTTTCGAGACGAGCCGAGCCGAGCCTATTCAGTTCGAGCTTGAGCCGAGCTCGGGCCGAGCTTTATAAAAAGCTCGAATAATTTCGGGTACTCGAAATTTTTGAGTACTCGATTTGATTCGAGCCCTTGAGAAAATCCAAAATTTTCTACATTAATTTTTAATTAAATTTAAAAAAAAAAGAAAAAAAATTTTTAATTTAAAAGCTCGAATTAAATCGAGTGCTCGAAAATTTCGGGTACCCGAATTCATTCGAGTACCCGAAATATTCGAGTACTCGAGTAAATTCGGGTACTCGAAAATTTCGGGTACCCGATACATCGAGCCCGGCTGGGCTCGGCTATTCGAGCTTTTTGCACACCTCTATTAAATAATCATTATCTTTTGCTGTGTTAAATTTGTATCTATTGTTTTTTTTTTTTTATTTGCATTTTGTTTATATTCGTTTTTAATACAATAGTTTAGGATGAATTCTTTTTATTACATTTTCATGCTTTTGTAGAAAATTGGAATATTTATTGCCAAACATAATTAGAAAACTTCAAAGGTTTTCTTAAACTATTCCTCATTTGTATAAAACTTTTTTTTATTTGTTCATTCTTTTATACTTTTAAAAATTTGAAATTATGCATTATTATAAATACTTTGTGAAATAGGCAATTTTATGTTGGTAAATTTGGACTATTATTGATAAATAATATTAAATTTTCTAGTACACAAATAATATGAATAGACTTTGAATACTTCAAACTCA